AATTCCTGCCAAAAAGGGGTAATGGGCTCTGTATAAACATGTCACACTCCCCATGGCTGCAGGACTGAGGCTGAAAAGCATTGAATCCCTGACTTGGACATGGGTACCTGTTTTTTTTCAGCCCCAATACACATACCCAGAACCACTCACAGGTAATTGGTACACATTGGCCATATCTATATCTGATTAAATTGCAGTGGAATTTCAGCAAGTAAATTGGGTCACATAGCTGTATCTGTGATTATATCAAAAACTTTCATGGGATGTTACATCAGTTGAAATGTCTGATTTAATGGTTGGACATTAAACAGGAAAATCAAATTGGTACACCACCTGGTTCCTGCAAGTAACTGCCCAGGTGGGTCTGGGTGAGTTTGGTTTGGGCAAAAAAGTGACCTGGTACCCATACCTTAATCTTATGTTACTTAGTGCCTTTACTTCCACCATTTTTGGAAAACATATTTCTTTCTTTTTTTTTCTGTTATTTTTATAGCTGAAAAATGAAAGGTTGTCACCTTGACCTGTATTTTCCAAGCAATTGATAAGAGATATTCAGGTTGAGTTTTCAAACCCATCTACAAGATTGCACTAAAGAAATTAAGTCCACTGCAAAAATGCTGTTTTTTGAGTTCAACTTTGCACATGGATTTGTCTCCTAACAGCAAAAATGGGCTGCTAATCTACACCTCTTTTTTCCCAAAAAGCATTAGCTTAGTGGTTCTTCTTTGGTTGAAATCATGTAGTGTTAGTGCAATATGGGCAGTTTTTTGCTATGAAACGTTAAGCTACACTGCACTACAGGCAACTGACAGCAACTATAGGGAAGAAATGATGCTAACCAGCACATTAGCACAGTGTAGCGGCAAATTTTGGAGGCCTGCAGGAACAGTGTTAGCGCAGACACGGCAGAATTCCACCACACTACACTTAACTTCAGTGAGATCCTGCTGCATTACACCTTTCTAACATTACAGTTAGTGTAACTGGCCCACCCTTTCCAACAGAGACTCCAATAGTATTTTATGAAGTAAAATCCACACCAACTGCCTAAATACAGGAACTTTGCAGATCTTTCAATCCTTTTGCACTAATTTCCTCAAAGCCTTGCAAACAAAATTCAAAACTCTATGATTTACAGCCAAACTGAGAAAGCTTGCGGTCTCGGTTGGCAGAAGATTTTTTAAAAAAAAAACTACCGACTGCAGTCGGAATCTTTGGAAAATTACACACCCTGTATGCCTGTTCAAATACAGCGGTTACCTGAGTGTAAAGTCCCTATCTTTTTTCTACCTCATTTCCAGGTCATGAGAGTAAGACCATTGGAATCCTGAGGGGAAGTTTAGTCTGAACAGCCCATGACCTGGATGTCACCCATCCCCCTCCTGCCTGTTGTGCTGGCTGGTTGGTCCCTGTTGGTGCTACCAGCAGTTATTTTACAAACTGTACACTTTCTGTATTCTTCCAAAGATTCCGACTGCAGTCGGTAGTTTTTTTTTTTTTTTAAATCTTCTGCCAACCGAGACCGCAAGCTTTCTTGGTTTGGCTGTATATTCTAATGAGGACTGGTCTTTGATGGATACCAGCTGCTGGAATCAAACATGCATTGAATCCATAGCTGGACCCGCTAATCTACCACCAAGCCAATCTGCAGCTGTCTGCAGTTCCAAACCTCCTCAACCAAGCATGGAAATCGTGATGTAAGCATGTGGGTGACCAGTGCATTCAGGAAAAAGATGATAAATCCATCCACAGTGTGAATCTGCATGTCCGGACAGCAAAAACATACCGACACCAACGCGATTCGAACGCGCGCGGACAACGTCCACTTCCTTAGCAGGGAAGCGCCTTAACCGCTCGGCCATAGTGTCATGATGTAACAGGACAGTAGACAGGATTCCGACAGTCCGGCCCACTTGGTCCGGTCCACCGGAGCTGACTGATGCTGTATAAATCAAACAAGTTTTGTGGTAAACACTAGTGGGGTAATTGGTGGCGATTGAAGGCTGCTGGACAAGTCATCCGTCATATGCCAATCTGTTTGTATGCCGACGACACCTCTGGCAACAGTTCAAAGAAGTGGAACAAGCATATATCATACTACTTTACCCTCGCAGGACTCCCTCCAAAACTCACCAACCAGCATTTTAATTGTCATTTCCTCTCAACCTCCAACAGCGCTGGGGCGATGGAACTGGCCGAGGGGATTGTAGATGAGTTGATGTGTGCCAACCCCCACCCTGGTAGTTCTGAAATTTTGTATTGATGGCAATTGTCTTTCTGCAGTACCTTGACTGAAAAAGGATGTGTTGCCTACGACTGCGGACTGGGTGAAGAAGTGTTGATCACATCGAGTTTACTTTGCTTCTTGGCCGACAGTCTGATGCATGCCAAAATTAAAAGCACTGTCATGCCAGGAAATTCTTGCAATCTGTGTCGTGCATGTGATCTGTCAGTCAGTAGCGTGAGCATGAAGAAAACGATGGCCTATCTGCAATTCTTTCTGCAAATTAGTGCGGATGGGTATTGGGTTAGTTTAATCATGCTACATATTAGATTGGGGAAAGTCAATTACTCCACACTGACATGTTAGTGGAACAGATCAAGAATGGTCCTGGATTGTGGATGGGCATAATTGCAAACTGCTATCTGCTTTGGGACATCTCGAAACAGCCAAGAACAAAGACTCGAGTGGGCGTCGTGGGTGGTGATCTGGGTGTAAAGGATTTAGTCAACAACGAAATACTTCTATTCAAGTAAACTATTCTTGCTAAGGGTGATTCTGCCACTCCCGCCAACCAGGAATTCATTTGTCGGATTGCTGTGCTTGACCAAACTGATCAAACAAGGCTATTCAATCCTTTTTTCAGACTACCAGGTGAGATTGTGTATTCTAGTTCTCTCCTTTGAGTTTTGGATGCTTACCTCCTTCAAATGGGTCTTTGCAGATTTTGATGGGTGTAATGACACATTGGTAGAGGTGCTGCACGTTTTCCTACTAGGGGTGGTGAAATATATGGTTAGGGATGTCATGGCCCGAGCAAAACCGGCCCAATTGGGAGACATCAAAGGCTGGTACCGATCATTCCGGACCACATCTCTCAACATCCCATCTTTATCGCCAAACTACATGGCCAAGCACTTTTCCAACTTTGTCGGAAAGGAATTTAAGGTTGTACTTCAAAGTGCCCCATTTGTCCTCTTTGAAATGTTTGATGACAATGAACGACTTGTGTGGGGTGCACTCTGTGAACTGGTGCCACTCATCTTCCAAACCCGTATAGAAGACATGGACTCTTACCTTGCCGACCTGCGCTTTCACATCCAGAAATTCCTTTATTACATTATCAGAACCACAGCACAGTGGAAAAATAAACCCAAGTTCCACATGCTTCTGCACTTACCGGAATCCGTCGAACGATTTTGCCCCGCAAGTCTATTCGCCACTGAGAAGTTTGAAAGCTACGATGGTGTGCTACAGAACACTTCAATACATTCAAATCGGCAAAGTCCTGGAAAAGACATTGCAATCATGTTTGCCAACTTCAAGGTTATCAGGCATCTCACTTGTGGCGGATACTTTGAGCACCCAAAGGTTTATATCACTTCTTCCTTGGGGGTAGCTCAGCTCTTCAAGAACAACTCACGTGTCCAAAAATCAATGGACTACAACAAAAAAGGGGCGTCAGTTGAGGCCGAGGCTCCTTACCCACTGAACATTCAACTGCCCCTGGGGGAGCAGAGGCGGATTCCGCCGCCTTTGCAAGTGCATCTACCGGGCCTTCAGCTATCTCAGCTGGTTGGCATTCAATTGAATGCTCATTGAGCCCTTCAAAAAGATGTATTTATATTGGTATGTGTTAGATTTCGAATGCACTCTTGACTGCATTCACTGAACTGCTACTGATCCAACTTCTAACAGGTACGGTCGGCAGAGGAAAACACACTCCATTTGGTTGGGTGCATAGACCATATTTCGCAGGCAAGGAAGAAATCAGGTGTCTCTTACTGGGTGTGCTACACCAAGTATGAGAGGGGAGATGTTGACAAATTTTATAACATGCGGAAGGTTGTCAAGACAGGTATTACCAAGCTTGTCAGGATCAATCACCAACAGTGAAATGACGCAACCCTGGCAAATTAATCCAGCATTTCATCAGTTCACCACAAGGACCTGGGGATATCGTGCTCAATTCCCCCCTGCTATAAATACCTTTTTGGTACCAAGGTCTTTTGCAGGTCGTTTCCCAAAGGTCACATTTTTTGATTGTCTCTTTTGTTTCCCTCTTCCGGTAACATTTACTTTTCGTTCAGAACTTTTTACTCCCCACTTTTTGCCTTCTCCAATCTCTCATCCCGTAATTTTTCACAAGGTTGATTTTTGTCTTTCTGCCGGTTCATGAGCCCAGGTTCATGGGACTCAGGTGCATTTCCATCTATGCAGGTATTAATGTCCAATTCTGTCAATCCAAAGAAGTCCTGCACCTTTTACTGTTCCCGATCCGACTCCAAACAACCCATTTTGAAATCTGTGTTTTGCCAATTCCAAACTTAACTTTCAATATGCACACAAATCCTGGCCTTTCGTTTTCCAACTCCGATTCATGCTCTACTAAACTTATCCCACTGGTTTTAGAAATTGCTCCTTTTCCAATTGCAAAACAGATTTTTCATCGGCTCAATTTTTCCATTTGCAAACATAACTGTCATCGCATTAATCATAAGATGTGATTGTATGCACACAAGTCCTGCACATTCATTTGTCCAAACGCAACTCCTGCCACCTAATCTATCCATCTGCTATTAGCAATTTACCATTTTCCAAATGCAAATTTATGCCTCATCTGTTTAAAAATATTCAGTTCCCAACACCGTCTCATAACATCTGTTCGAAGGGTTGTACGGCAACATTTAAACACCTCAAAATCCTGAAATCTTTTCTTCCTGCCTATCTTCATACTCAATTCTTAGGCACTAAACAACCTTCTGGCACTCAACACAAAATGATTCATCTCAGGTCCATTACATTTGTGCCTGAAGAACCTCCATTTGTGTTCAACTCGCATTATCAAATTCTCGACGCAAAGCTCTGGTCTTCTTCAACCATGGATGTGGTCCCTATCAATTCAAGTCGTTTTCCTCGTTTTGATATTCTCACTCCAGCCCCCAGGGGCATTTCCCCTACTGCAGGATCATGGCTCTGTTTTGAAGGCCTTGCTAAGTTCAATCCCGGATCCGAAACAATTATTGTCAATTGCCAAGCCTCTTCATACCACTCCGAGGTTCCATTGCAATATCAGCACCTCCCAATGCCATATGTCTTTGGAGACTTAATCATAATCGAAACCCAGAAGCAATTGTATGCATCTGATCCTGATCAAGACAATGTAAGCATATAACTCCACCGTTAATGCCTTTACTTTAGCTTACTGTCCCGCTATTCTTCAGACCTGCAAATTTTTATTGTGCCCGAGCCCAAGGCGCTCTCAGGGACCTTTACTGTACTCATTACCACTCGGCACCAAGCTTTGGATCCAAGCTGAAATGATAGCTCGCTTGGGAAACATCATCAAACTTGAAGTAAGTCATAACTCAGGCTTTTGTGGTTTAAGTTTCACAATTTACTAACTCTTTTACCAGGTCCTATACGTTCAGTTGTTATCATAAAGTCCCCTGAAAACTGTGTTGTGTTGTCTCATCAATTGCCATTCTATGTAACCTGGCCTTGTATTTGTCACTGTCATGTTTCTTTTTTCCCTGAAATTGCGAAACAAGTTCAAACCGCTTCCCAATTTCTTCCAATCCTGTAATCCAATGCTCATAACATCATCGCCAGTTTGTCGAACAAACTTTATGAAACTAAGGATTGGCAGCTGATGCTTTATGAATATACCCGGGTCATTGGCTCAAACAATTTGCATTCCACAATGGGATAATTATATAGTTACTTTAGTTTCCTCAACTTCTATAATGGCAACAACAGTACAGAATGTTCATTTGTACCGTATCATTTTTTACCCCGGAATAGGCGCCAGAAGCAGTAATTTTCTCCAATGCCAAATCTGGACTATTCTGACTTTACCTGTTCCGCGTTTTGATCCCTAAGCCTCTTTTAATGAAATAATCCTACTCGAAGCCTCTCTCATGCTTATGTTTCATACCTGAAATTGGAACTTCCCGTCCAATTTCCTGTTCCCTATTGCATTAACATCGATACCTTATCATGTCTTGCCCCAATGCCAAATCTGGACTCTTCTTACTTTACCTATTTTGGCTTTTGGTCCCTAAGTCTCTTTTAAAGACACAATCCTACTCGAAGCCTCTCTTATGCTTATGTTTCATACCTGAAATTGGAACTTTTCTTGCAATGTCCTGTGACCTATTGCATTAACACGAATACACAATCGAACAAGTTACCTCTTTTGATCTACCATAGGGTCGGAATAGCCACCGTATTATTTCCTTATCCAGAAATGGGACTATCTGGCCAATGGCTATTCGGCTATGCCTTCTAACCATCCAATATAAAAGTTCTATGTCTTCCCAAGGAATCCATTATTTTATCCAAGTTCCACAAATCGTATCCTCTTCCGCTCAAATTCTATATCCTTATTGAAAGCTACTCCGTTATTGCTGATCATTACCTTGTTCTCTACGGATTTTGACTTGCCGCCTGCTCCTGAACATGTCCACCCAAAAGCGACTCAGTCATCCAATGACTAGCCGCACAATCTTAGATATTATTGATAGGGTATGCTCCCATTGCTAAATTGCCCTATTCATTGACAGGTTCTGACACTCTGCTTTCTCCCTTGGCCAACAGTTATCTCAAAACATTGCTCCTGGATCTACGTATGGGCAGTTCTATTACTCGACTTCCATTCCTTTTACCGACTCGGTTACAAAGGAAGAAAAAAACATCCTGACCAAGCTATGTGGCTACAGTTCCGTCTTAACTGCGCTTGCAGAGAACCACATATACATGGTTTCAGGAAGAATCCTTGCCCCTAACTCCAAGACTACTCCCGTCTTTCACTATGAAGGAGAGACGATCGTCGATCTTGGAGATTCTGAAAATTTCAAAGCGGATCTCACAGGCAAATCATCTGTCCTTGGCTTTGGTGTTGTTGTCAGCAAAAAAGAACAAACTCAGGAGTCTGACTCGGGACCTAATCCCTGTCGTAACTTGCATGTTATTTTGCAACATACTGATTACGATCCTGTTGTAGGTTCCGCTGCACCTAACTTTGTCTTGAATCATTACTCACAACTACTCTTTAGGCCAAGGGCCAAGTTCAATTCAGGGCCCAGTACATAATCAGTGGTCGGAAAAACCTCGCCAATACCTTTGGTCTTTTCCAAATTGGCCGTGAAGTGCTCATCTCTGGTCATATAACAGGATACGACCAGGATGAGTATATGTGGATTGTAAATGTCAGCCCTATTCAAGCCTTCTACTTCTGAGAGGTGTTCCTAACTTGTATCAAATAGGCCTTGTCTGTTTCCATTGCTTCAGGCCATCAAAGCGGAATATCACAGTCATCCAGTAGTAATGCAAAGGCTGCGACTATGAGGCGTAGACCAGGCCTGTGAGTGAACATTGTCTTCTTATGATTGGTCGAGCCCTGACATCTTGCTTTTGTCCTTCATAGAATATCTTTAGAAGACGATAATGACCCTGTTGGGGTTAACACCGGCTCAGCTCACAACATGCCCAAGGCTAACTCAATCTCAGGTGAAGGGGCCAATGGCTCTGGTCCTCTTCCAGAACCGGTCACTGACCCCGGAGCAGTTCTTTCTCCTGGATCATACTACAAAAGCCTTGCATCGACTCCAAGCAGAAAGCGAACTAAGAAGGAAATCTTAGCTGACGCAAAGAGGGCAAAGGCTGCTCTTGCTTAACTCAAACTAGGTTAAATCCATTGTTTATTGTATTCCTTGAGCTATACACGAGCTCCTGAGGCAACTATCACCGAGACTATGACTCTGGCACAGTTTGCTTCATTTTGTAACATTATCCTTTTCACTAACCTCTATTCAGAATTAAATGCATTGTTTATTGTATTCCTTGAGCTATACCCGAGCTCCTGAGGCACCTATCACCGAGACTATGACTCTCGAACAGTTTGTTTCATATTGAGACATTATCCTTTTCACTCACCTCTATTCAGAATTAAATCCATTGTTTATTGAATTCCTTGAGCTATACCCGAGCTGCTGAGGCAACTATCACCGAGACATTTGGAGCCACTTCCTCCATTGACTCAAGTCCTGCTATACAAACAATTGGGTCCTTCAACCTCTGGCTTGACTAGGAGTCTGATTCATAACAACTCAGATTTTAGTTGTTCACTTGCTGTAGTTTAATCAGCATTTTGTTGTACATCTCAATCATGAGTCGAATAAGGTTTGAACGCGCGACCTCTTCTTTTCCTATATAATTCTTAACCAGGAAGCAGTTCTAAGAACAACACTGACGATCTTATTAACACCACGGACAAATAGGTGTCGCTGCGGCCCGCAGCGTCACCTGACGTTTTCCACCAGATTCAGATGTCGCGCGACCAAATCAAAGTTGGATCTGCAACGACACCAGCCCCCTCGAAACGACAGCAAGCACTATGATCATCGCCAGAGCCATCTATCCAAGTTCCCATTCCTGGCCAACCAAAGACCTTCTGTCGGCTCGCCCTCCTCCAGCTCTGCCATCTCTATCGCCGACTCGCCCTCCAATACAAACTCCCCCAGATTCTCCGCGAACGACCCGCCCTCTAGTCATGACCCCTTTAACGATCTCTTCTCCATCGATCTGTTCAACTCTCTCCTCGTCCTCCTAGCTGTCCCCCCCCTCCTTCTCACTCCGGATTCGGAACATACTCACTCTTCTCCTGACGTCTTGATCCTCAGTTGGCCTTTGGTCTGGCTTAGCCTGTCAAAGAGCAGTTGACTACTGACTACTTCGTTGGCCTCTCTCTCTCCCTCTCTCCCCCCTTCCAATCTGTTTCTGTTTCTTCTACTTCTTCTTCTTTTCATGTTTGAGTGTCGCTGTTTTGTGTTCTTGTTCTTCTTTCATCTAGCAAAAAAAACTAAAAAAACAATAACTTATTGACACACAATTGAAATGAAGTGAAATGTTCCAACCTGCAAGCAAACACCATCAAGATTTCAGAAGCAGCAGCTTGATGGGCAAGAGTGATCCTTGGGGTCAGAGCGACTCCATCACAGAGTGTCATCCACAGGTATACCTTAATGTTTGCTCTCCCAGCTCCAAAAACAAAATGTTGCGTTCAACTTTCATTTTGGACATCAGATTACCATGTCTTCAGTTGTTTTCAGATGCAAAAGAAATCGATCGGTCCTCAATTCAAGTTGGCCGGGATGTTGGAGAAAAAGATATGTTGAGCAAAGGTTCAACAGACAGCTCTGGAACCCCATCAGTATGGCGATGTGGAATTGACGGACCTTGTTTGTCTGAGTGTCAAGGAGAAATCAACTACATTAGGTCGAGTAGTACTCTGATCGTCTATAAGACATGGGATTGTTCAAAGAGTGAGTTATAACTTTCTTTCTCTTACTTCTAGAGTTTCACTGCCATGCATCTCTCCTTGGAAAAAGATAGTTACACTCAGTCTGATTTATTCTTCCCACAAATTGATTAACAACAGACGACTTGATGTATGGTGGATCATTGAAGAGGACCTTTGAGCCGAGTCGGTTGAAGATTGATTGATCGACTGGATGGCTATTTCATCCCTCCCCATCTGAGAAAAATAATTGTTGTTATTCTCTGCTGTCGAGTTCAATCTTATTTGATTCACTACAAGTTTCTATTGACTTAGAGGCTGGTTGGATTAAATGGGAGCAGGACAAGTTCCCAATTTTACCCTTAGATTCAAGAGATAAAAAAATACAACAATTATTCAGTCACAACATTTTTTTGTTTTGTTTTGTTGAGATATAGATGTGGGAAAATGTTTGGGTGGTGGATAGGGTTCACAATCGAACGGGAGTTGTGTTTTTTTTTTGGATTCAAGAGGGAGGTCAATAGAGATCAGGTCCATAGAAAAAAAATGGAATGGAAAGGGAAAAAAACAGGGCACATTAAGTTTCTGAAGTCACATCCAAGAAGTATCAAAAAATGACGCGAAATTGCTCAAGTAAAGAGTTAGGAGAAAAAAAATGTGAGATAAGTGAAGCAGAAGAGGTTAAGAGGAGATCAAAAACAGAAGACTAACCTCTAGTTTTGACGGAGTAGACAAAGTTGGAGAGCACATGGTCCTCAATGAGTCGGATATGATCTGAAGGCAGATGAGGATGAAGGATAGAGGGCAGATGATTGAGCTGGATGTTGAACACGAATCCATGATGATCGAGGGTTGTAGTGGGTTTGAGGATAGATTTTCTCTTGAGGGTTGGACAAATGGGGCCGTCAAGATCGGGAGGGAAGAGGGGATTGTGTTTGTCTGGTTCAAGAGGACGGGGAGCCTGACGTCTCTGTGCGGGGGCGGAGGGGGAGGAGGAGGGGGAGGGGGGACGCGGTCTGGGATGGATCAAGGCGGGGGCCTCGGATGGGCTGACGAGGAGGCTGGGGAAGCTCTGGTGGTGGTGGCTCAGGACGAGCTGAGTGAGGGTCTTGTCGAAGGAGTACAGACTGTCTCAGGGATCGCGAATCTTGGCCTTGGCTTGCTTCTTCCGGGCCGGCTCGCCATGCTCATTGTCTTCCAGGAGGGCTGCCGGGCCAAACAGCCTGCGGTAAAAGGAGGAGGATCGGGCTAAGCCAGGACTCGAGGAGCCCGATGAGTCTCCGCCGCTGGAGAGGGCCGATGTAGAGGGGGAGATCGAGGAGGACTGGTGGTCTATCTTGGCTGCTCTCTGCTCTTTGTAGCTCCCTGTTTTTTCCTCTGGGGTCTCGGGCAGTTGGACAGTCTGATTAGGATCATAAGTGGATGAGACCAGTAAGGCGAACTGATTATAATCCTCGATTGGCTGCTTTTTGGTGGATCCAAGGGGTGAAGTGGATGGGGGTGCTTGTCTTGCTGCTGTTGCTGATGATGATGATGATTCAGGGGTCGATCGAAGGGGTGAGTTCAAAAGACAGTGGTGGTCTAGATATTTGATTAGAGAGCTTGCCGGTAATGATTTGAGAACTCGGAGGGGGGTGGTCCAAGCCCTTGTTCTAGGGTCTCGTGTCCTGGTGGTGGTTATCTTCTGGATGGGCTAGTGGTGCGGTTAATTTGTTCTTGTTCGAATTCCGGTGACGTTTCCGACGGTCCATCATGATGATCCTGAAGGAAGTTGTTCTGTTGTTAGTTCTCCTCTGATTGACTGAGAGCAAGATGAGTGGGATGATGGTTAAGGAAAGACTGGACATACCCTGACTACAGTTGTGGTACTCGGTCGACCTTTGTTGCTGCTCAGCCTTGAAGGAACTTAGATTTGTGTGCACTTGGGTCTTTTACGGCAGTCTTGGAGGTGGCATTTAAACTGACGAAGTTTGTGATGGGACCACAGTTGAAGCCAGGACTCAAGTAGTGTGATCTGTTGTTTCATGGATTGAGTTGTCGCTGCTGCTGACGTGGCATGAGGATTTGGTTTGACTCGAAACGTCTGGGTGACGCTGCGGGGCGCAGCGACAGCTAATTGTCCGTAGTGTAAGGCAGGTGGGGAGTATCCCATCAGTCTTGGTTTTTACGTGGAGTTCACTCTATTATGACAGTGCGAAGCACTCAAAGACCATCTAAAACCGGTTCACCTTCTTGCTGCTCAATTCAAGCATTTGGCTGAACGATCGACTGGTTTGAGCAGAGGCTTTTTGCTCAATTTCTTTGACATTGCCATTTTAGGAATCGACTACTGAAGCCGATACCACTGTCTTTCAATTGCCTAGTAAACAATTACAGCACTGGACAATGCCAAATGAGGGAAGTTATAGGGAAACTCATGATACAGTACAGGTGGTACTTATTCCTTAATCGGAACAGCTTTATTGTTTTACTGTTCTTAACCTAGAGCCATGCTAATATCGGAATCAGAATCAGTTCCAGATCCAGATCCAAGACCTGCCTAGGCCTCTTTGAGCATGAGACCTTTGTCTGTTTCGCGTACCAACCGCAAGTGCAGTAACAAGCTGATTTTGACACACAAAGTTGCTGCTCAGCAGAAGTTTCCTGTCAACAATCTGTTCCGTTATCATAATCACCCATAAGAAATATTCCCTGACCCTAAATTCCTAGATTTTGACCATCTCTCTTCCTGTATCTCTATTTAACATTCATCAGTCAAAATGAAAAAATCAACCTACATCAAGGGGCCAGCAGCAACTACACCAGAACTCAACAACGAACAGACCCTCAAGCTGAAGTTTCCTGATGAACTCCCACACTACCTTGGGCCATGTACTGATATATGTACCGAGTGCAAGGCTTTGCACTGGCCAGGCGAGAGAACTGGGGCTAATCAGAGATCAATTCATAGCAGTTTCAGCCCATGTTGCCGAAAAGGTAAAGCAATGGTCCCAATTTCTTACACAAGCCACAAGTACCCAACTTTCCTGAAGGACTTGCTGTTAGGCACCAACCAAGGTATGAGCTTTCTCTGCCTACGTGTCACATGATGCTAACAATTCCACAGTTTCATGCCGGTTTCAGCGTTTGATCAGAAGTTACAATAATGCTGTCGCATTTGCATCACTAGGAGCCGAGATCAATGACAAAGTTCAGGGTCAGAAAGGAATATATACATTCAAAATAAAAGGGTCCCTATTCCATAACGTCCCTGAAGACACTCCGGCTCGAAGATCTGAAGCCAAATTCTCACAAATATATGTCGTCGGAGGCAATGACCTTAGTGAAGCTGAATTCAGGCGACAAAGATGTGGAAACGAGGTCGAGACTGACTTGTTGCTCATGATTCAACGGTTCATAAGCAAGAATAATTCTTATGCTAAATTCTACCGGACAATTACTGAAGAATTGAAAAAGAATCCAGCAGCTACGTTTGTGCTCAAATCATTAAATGGTCCTCAGCACAAAATGAATACTTACAATCAACCAAGAATTAAAGAAGTAGTGATGGTCCTAGAAACAGATGATCCCGAAATGATTGGAGAAAGGGACATAAAACTATTCAAGCATGGGGGTGGAGTGAGGTATGTCACCGACTTGTTCCCAGGTTATTTAGCTTTGCGGTTCCCAATCTTTTTTCCACTTGGAGAGCAAGGATGGATCCAAGAAATGGGACCCAAACGGAATGGTGGTGAGTAAGAATCAATTTATGCTGTAACAATTAATAATGACATTATTCTACCTCAGGCCGGAGCATTACTCAATGCCAATGGTATTCTTCGATGATCTACCCTCGAAAAGACGAATTTTCAGCAATACTTTATGGGAAAAGTTTGTTCCAGGAACTCGTTGACGACATGTATCTATGTGTCAAACGCTCCCGGATCAGCTGGGTGCAAAGAAACCAGCGCCAATTAAAAGCAGATATGTACCGGGGCTTGGAAGAGGCACTGATGAACGAGACCGATATCGAAGGGAGGAAAGTGATCTTGCCCTCAACTTTTGCAGGATCGCCACGCAACATGGTTCAACTGTTTCAGGACTCAATGGCTTTAGTTCGAGAGTTTGGACCTGCCTCCCTGTTTATCACAATGACTGCAAATCCAAACTGGCGAGAAATTAAAGAGGAGTTACCACCACATTTAACAAGCTCGGATCGGCCTGACTTGATTGCCAGAATCTTCATCTTAAAGTTGCCGAGCTTAATAGATGATTTAGTCAAGAGCCAACGACTAGGTCGAGTCGTTGCGTATGTCTACACGGTCGAATTTCAAAAACGCGGTTTACCTCACGCCCACATTATGGTCATGTTGAATCCGGCAGATGTTCCAAGGACCGAGGCTGCTATCGACAGCATTGTCAGTGCCGAGATTCCAGATCCACAAAAGGAACCGGACTTGTATGATATTGTCGTCAGAAACATGTTGCACGGCCCTTGCGATGTTAAATCAAACTGCTGGAAGAACGGGATGTGTAAATACCATTACCCAAAACCTTTCCAAGAACAGACTCAGATAACTGATGATGCATATCCTGCATACCGCCGGAGAAATGATGGACGAAGTGTTCACAAAATGGGGAAAACATTTACGAATGCCGATGTGGTTCCATACAATAAATACTTTTCACTTCGGTACAACTGTCACATAAATATTGAAATTCCGTTCTCAATTAAGGCAATGAAATACCTGTTCAAGTATATATTTAAAGGTGTGGATCGGTCATCAATGAAAATAATAGATGGTGATGAAACAAAAAAGTTTATTGATGGAAGATACATTGGCCCTTGTGAAGGTATGTGTTGATTATTCCTTCTCATAATAAACTCATAAGGCTTCACTGACTCTGTAATCTTTTTGAAGCGGCGTATCGACTTTTCCAGGGTCCAATGAATGCACGATATCCTTCAGTTCAAAGGTTGGCTTTACACCTGGAAAAGGAGCAACTGGTCTTTTCCAAGATAAAGACAATGTTGTACAGTCGTTCAATTCCCGAGAAAGCCCGAACGAACGTCTTTGACAGAGTTTTTTGCAATCTCAAACAGCGACATCTCGGGCCTTGGTGTGAAAGCCAAAGATTGCCTATATCAAGACATGCCCAGGTATTTTTCCTGGACTGATGACAACCGGTGGAAGCCAAGAGTCATCACTTCTGACGCTGTTGGTAGAATTTATTTTGCGCCTATGTCGGATGGAGAACGTTACTATTTACGACTCCTACTTTTAAATCGACGGGGACCAAGATCATATGCAGATTTAAGAACTGTGAACGGCATCTATTACGAAACAAACAGAGAAGCAGCAGAGGCATCAGGATTGTTGGCATCCGACCAACACTACGCACAAACATTAGCGGAAGGCTCACTTTGGATGTTGGGTCCAGGCCTACGGTCCATGTTTTGTTTGATGCTCATCCACAGTGAGGTTTGTCACTCCAATTCTTCCATTCCAAATGGAGGAAAAAACGTTCACCTCATCCATTTGGAATGGAAAAATGGGTGGAGCCGGATATGCCCAGCTCCACCCAGCTCACCCAGCTCAATATGAGCTAGGTGAGCTGAATGTGAGCTGGCTGAGCTGAATGTGAGCTGGCTGAGCTGTATTGGAGCTGGCTGAGCTGGATGAGCTGGATATGTGAGCTGGATGAGCTGGATTGGAGCTGGATGAGCTGGCTTGGAGCTGGATGAGCTGGATTAGAGCTGGATGAGCTGGATAAACTGTAACCCCCATCCCTAACCCCTAACCCCTAACCCCTAACCCCTAACCCTAACCCTAAACCCTAAACCCTAAACCCTAAACCCTAACCCTAACCCCTAACCCTAACCCCTAAACCCTAAACCCTAACCCCTAACCCCTAACCCCCCCACCCCTAACCCTAACCCTAAAACCTAACCCTTAAAAC